CGCAATTTACCAATATCCTGTCCAGTAATTACTCCATGATTAATTACTTTTGCTAGACATTGCACATCAGCCAGACCTTGATTTAATCCTTGTCCAGCAAGCGGATGAATTGCATGAGCAGCATCGCTACATTTGTAAATGTTAAATTAAAAAATCTTACGGACGAATCAATATTTTGTATAGAAATATCCTTACCCCACAAGTGCAACCCGCTCTTTGACATAACTCTCGGAATTTCTCATTCGTAGCGGAAACCCAGCCCGACTCTTCTCCTGAACGTCCAAAACAAGTGGCGGCAACGTGAATTTTGCTTCTTCTGATTCAACACTGTGTCTCCATTCAAATTCATCTTTAATATTAAAACCATCGTTTTCTAGCTGAGAATAAAAATATTCTAGGTTTGCAACACGAAGTCGAAATGCCGCATTCACCAGGTGAACAAATTCCCTTTTTCCAAGTGATCGTATTTTAGAAGAAAGATTGGGAGTCGTGGACCACACCATTGAGGAAATTCCATTTTGCATCTTTGAGTAAACAACGATTATGAATACTTCGATGAGATCGATCAATGATTACAAAAGGTATTCATACCGGTAACATTGCGATAGGTCCGGTTGGTAAAAACCTTTGCCATGCTGTTGTATTTTCCACCAAAGGATCCACGTGCAAGGTAGCTACCACTGCATGTGCATCATAATCCCACCCTAGTGATTCAATGTTGACGAAGGAACGAACAAGCGAGTTAATTCCATCAGCTCCAACCTGCAACACATTACTAATTAACACAAAGAAGCATTCGCTAACGAAAGTATGTTGGAATTAACCTACCAACAATCTGGTTTTTAAAATTTTGCCATCACTTAACTTTAAGCTAGGCCAGTCCGAAAGTTCAAATTTTTCACTAATGCCTCCACCCCCAATATAATTATCGAAAGTAATTCTTTCAACTTTGGTATTTTCGAAAAATGTTAAATTATTGTTTCCTTTGTATTGTGAAAGCCGAGTGAGAATCGCCTGCTGAATATTATGATTCTCCGCAATCCACGCAATATTTCCTAGATTTGTAAGAAAGGTGTTGTGATCTTTACAATTGAATGTTATTCTAGCATCAGTAATTCCATCCCATACTTGCATATCTTTGAATGGTTTAACGCGTTCTTGAATTACGTTTTCCCATACTCCTATATCTAGCGTTAACAAAAAATGCTGTTGGTTCATTGTAACTGCATGGATACTTTGATTTCTTAAAAAACATAAAACTCACCCGTAAAGAATTCGACAGATCGAGGAGTCAATGAACTAACTCGATTAGAAAAATGATCGTGCGAGGGTTTCCATTCTTTCAAATACGACACATCACTAAATTCGACGAGGGCAACACGCTTAGATTCTATTATCCCGGATGATGCTGTAGGCGATATCAAGGATTTAATGAGTAATCACGTGGATGTCTGTAGCGTGATATATAAAGCGATAAGAATGCTTTACCCAAAGCACAAGCTAAAGCGCTTCCCGAAATTCCACCTCCAACAATGACAATATCATA